ATCAGCATCACCAGCAGCATCAGTACCCTGAGCAGCAGCATCATCAATAGCAGCAGCATCAGCGGCAGCCTCAACATCATTAGCATCAACAACAACATCAGCATCATCATCAGCATCATAATCATAGTCGTCGTCGCGGGCTGTATCATCATCATCATCATCATCATCAGCAGCAGCCGCAGCAGCATCATCATCATCATCAACATCATCGTCATCGGCATCGTCATCGTCATCGTCATCCTCCTCCTCCGCCTCCTGCTCCTCATCTGCAGCAGCAGCAGCACCAGCCTCATCATCAGCAGCCGCATCAGTATCAGCATCATCGTCGTCAACCTCAGCAGCATTTATCGTATCCTCATCATCCTCATCCTCGTCCCCCTCCTCCTCCGCCGCAATCTCCGCTCTCGTCTCGTTCTGTTCCTCGTCCTCATCATCCTCCTCCTCAACATCCGCCGCCTCCCCTCCTCCTCCTCCTCCTCCTCCTCCTCCTCCCCATCCTCTTCATCATCATCATCATCATCATCATCATCACCATCATCATCATCATCATCATCATCATCATCATCATCATCGTCATCAGCATCATCATCATAATCATCAGCATCATCAGGATCATCGTCATCAGCATCAGCATCATCATCATCATCAGCAGCAGCAGCATCATTATCCTCCTCCGTATCCTCCTCCTCCTCCTCCTCCTCCTCCTCCTCCTCCTCCTCCTCCTCCTGTTCATCATCATCCTCCTCCTCCGTATCCTTCTCCTCCTCCTCCTCATCCTCCTCCTCATCGCCCTGCTGGGTCGGAGTGCGCGGGGGGCGGCTGACACGTTCGACCTGGCAATCGTGCATACATAAGCGTTACTCCCTGTCCTCCTCCTCCTCCTCCTCATCCTCCTCCTCCTCCTCCTCCTCCTCCTCCTCGTCGTCGTCCGCCTCCCCCTCGTCCTCCTCATCCTCCTCCTCAATCTCTTCATGTTCCGTATCATCCTCCTCCTCCTGCACCTCTTCCGCCTCATCCTCCGCCTCCGTCTCCTCTTCCAATCCTCCTCATTCTCCTCCTCGTCCTCCTCCTCCGCCTCCTCGTCCTCCACCCCCATCTTCGTCCTCATCCTCCTCATCATCAGCATCAGCAGCAGCATCATCATCCTCAGCATCGTCATCATCCTCATCATTACCATCATCAGCATCATCACCATCCTCAGCCGCATCAATATCGTCATCATCATCATCATCATCATCATCATCATCATCAGCAGCATCAGCATCATCATCAGGATCAGCATCAGCATCAGCAGCATCATCATCACCATCAGCATCGACATCCTCATCCGCAGCAGCAGCAGCATCGTCAGCATCCGCATCGTCATCACAACCACCACCACCACCATCATCATCATCGTCATTGTCATCATCATCATCATCAGGAGCATCATCATAAGCATCAGCATCATCACCACCACCACGTTCACTACCACCACCACTATCAGCATCATCATTATCATCACCACCACCAGCCCCAGCAGCATCAGCATCATCATCAGTCATCCAGTCATCATCATCGCCATCGTCATCCTAGCCGTTGTCATCAGTATCATCAGCATCAGCAGCATCATCGACAACATCATCAGCATCATATGCGGCAACGTCAGCATCAGCAGCAGCAGCAGCATCATCTCCAGCATCATCATCCTCATCACCAGATTCATCAACATCCGCATCAGCATTATCAGCATCAGCACCACCAGTCGCAGCAGCAGCATCGTCAGCATCAGCATCGTCATCACGATCACAGACACCACCATCACCACCTCCACCATCAGCATCATCAGCATCATCATCATCAGCATCATCAACATCATCAGCGTCATCAGCATCATCAGCAGCAGCATCATCAGCATCAGCAACCGCATCCTCATCAGCATCATCATCATCAGCATCATCGACATCAGCATTATCTGCATCATCAGCATCAGCATCATCGTCATCATCATCATCCTCCTCATCATCATCAGCAGCATCATCATCAGCATCATCGTCGTCACCACAACCACAGCCAGCATCATCATCATCACTTCCATCACCAACATCGTCAGCATCAAAAGCATGCTCACCAGCAGCAGCAGCATCATCATCATCAGCAGCAGCAGCATCCTCATCATCAGCGTCAACATTATCAGTATGAGTGCTGGCATTGTCATCAGCATTATCATCCTCAGCACCAGCATCAACATCAGCATCAGCATCCGCATCATCATCATCATCATCATCATCATCATCATCATCATCACCATCATCGTCGTGGTCGGCAGCAGCAGCATCAGCATCATCAGTGCAATCGTCAGCATCATCATCGGCATCATGGGCATCATCAGCATAATCATCAGAATCTGAATCGGCATCATCGTCATCAGCAGCATCAGCATCATCATCAGCAGCAGTGCCAACAACAACGTCGTCATCAGCACCATCATGATCAGCAGCATCAGCATCAGCATCATCATCATCTCCGTCAGCATCGTCTTATACGTAGGTGATCATCATAGACCTCATCAGCATTATCAGCAGCATCAGCATCAGCATCAGCATGAGCATCAGCATCAGCATCAGCATCGTCATCATCATCAGTATCGCCATCATCATCAGCATCAGAATCGTCATTATCATCAGCGTCGTCAACATCCTCAACATCATCAACATCATCAACATCATCATCAGCAGCAGCAGCGGCAGTAGCATCACTGTCTCTCATCCCTCCTCCCTCATCCTCCTTCTCCTCCCTGCTCCTCCTCCTCCTCCTCCTGCCGCGTCGCCTCCTCTGGTCGGCAGCCGCGTGCGCAGCACCGCGACAGGGTTGATAGGTCGCAGCCGACAGTACGCCCGAATCTACATTCTCCTCCTCCTCAACTCTCATCTACCTCTCTCTTTCCATTCCGCCCCCCGGGATGAATGGGAGGGTGGAGGGGATTGGGGGAATGAGGAGGTGGACGAGGAGGACGACGAAGAGTGATCGAGGATCGAGGATCGAGGAGGATGAGCGGACGAAGACCGAGGAGACGCAGGGATCGAGGAATCGAGGACCCGGGAGAGGGAGCCCTCGAGGAGGAGGCACGGAGGATCGAGCGGGAGGGTCCGAGGACCGAGGAGGAGGCAGGTTCCAGGATCAGAGGCCGATGAGTATCGTTGAACCGATCCCCATCCCCAGCGGCGTGGCCTGGGCCCCACTGGCCAGTTTACCCCGCTAGATGGGGATATAGGTCGTTCCCTTCGGGTTTCGAGGGGTGTATCCCCAACTGGGGGGGTAATTTGGTGGGGGTCTCGACGGGGATGGGGATGGGCATGGGGATGGGGATCGGATCAACGATACCGAGCCGAGGGAGGATCAGACACCGCCCGTCGCTGGGCGGGCGCGGCCAGCACCGTGGTCCCCGCCGCCATGGGCGGGCCGGCGCGCGGCCCACGGCGCGGGCTGCTCGGGTCGCCCTGGGCACCTCGCGCGGCGGAGCCGCGGCGCGGGGGCTTGGGGCGGGGGAGGGGGAGGAGGAGGAGGAGGAGGAGGAGGAGGAGGAGGAGGAGGAGGAGGAGGCGGAGGAGGAAGGAAGGAAAGAGTGAGGAGAGAGGAGGGGAGGAGGAGGAGGAGCGGAGGAGGAGGAGGAGAGGAAGGAGTGAGGCAGGTAGGAGGAAGGTAGAGGAAGGAGGAGGAGGAGAGGAGGAGGGGGAGGAGGAGGAGGAGGAGGAGGAGGACGAGGAGGAGGGGAAGGAGGAGGAGGAAGGAGGAGGAGGAGGAGGAGGAGGAGGAAGGAAGAGGAGGAGAGAGGATGGAGGAGGAGGAGGAGGAAGGAGGAAGGGAGGAGGAGGAGGAGGAAGGGAAGGAGAGGAGGGAGGAGGAGGAGAGGAGGAGGAGGAGGAGGAGGGGGGAGGGAGGAGTGAGTAGGAGGAGGAAGGAGGAGGTGAGGAGGAGTAGGAGGAAGGAGGAGTGAGGAGGAGGAGGAGGAGGAGGAGGAGGAGGGAGGAGTGAGGAGGAGAGAGAGGAGGAGGAGAGGAGGAGGAGGGGAGAGAGGGGAGAGAGGAGGAGGGAGGAGGAGGAGGAGAAGGAGGAGGAGGGAGGAGGAGGAGAGAGGAGGAGGGGAGGAGGAGGAAGGAGGAGGAGGGGGAGGAGGAGGAGGAGGAGGAGGGAGGAGGAGGAGGAGGAGGCCCGTGTGTGAGGGCCCCCGACGCGCCGAGCCCAAGGTGCGCTCGTGTTTGTGGCCGAGTCCCTGCGTGTTTGTGCACTCCAGGCGGAGAGCTGCCCCACACACACACACACACACACACACACACACACACACACACACACACACACACACACACACACACACACACACACACACACACACACACACACACAACACGCACACACACACCAACAAACACAAACACAAACACAAACACAAACACCAACATTAACACAAACACAAACACCAACACAAACAAAAACAAACAAACAAACAAACAAACAAACAAACAAACAAACAAAGAAACAAACAAAACACACACACACACACACACACACACACACAAAACACACACACACACCACACACACACGCACACAACACACACACACACAACACACACACACACACGCACACAACACAGACACACAAGGAACCTGGGGAAGGGTCTTCCATGGACCATCCCCCCATGCCCCACCCCCCAAAGCCCCCACTGGGCCCCCACCCGCGCCCGCCCGAGGGCGGCGGCAGAAGCGCACCGCAGCACAACTGGATACCATCACAAGACAGCTGTGGGTGCACGTGTGTGCGCCCCGCCTGGCGAGGGAAGAGCACCGCTGTCCCTGCAGGGGGAAGGCGAGAGGGGGGCAAAACGAAAGGTCCGAGGGCCGAGGTTCGATGTGCTTGATGTTTCTCATCGTCCGAGCAGGAGCCTCCCGGGAGGCCTCCCGTCGACGCGTTGTGCACCCGCCTCGACATCCGCCACCGTGCCCCCTTGGCACGCTTAGCGGTGCTAGAATGCCAAGTGCTGTCTGGTAGGGTTTCTGTAAGTTTAAGGTTAAGTCGGGCCTATCCCCCTACAGGGTGAATTTGGACGAACAATAAAAACTGGTCCAAAAATATACCAAAATACTTAAACATGGTCAAAAATCCTCCCCAGACTATTTTTGACTATGCTTGAATATTCCTCCTGTAGAGGGACAGGCCCGACTTAAATTTAAGGGAGCCCCCCGCTCAGGGCCGCACCTCTTCACGTGCATCGGCCATGCTCCTGGGAGGTCCCTGGGCGGCCATGGCGCCTCCCTGGGGCTCTCTGAAGCTTCCACAACGGCCCAGGCCGCCCACTAGACGGTTCAAGAGGACCCCGAGTCGCCAACGATCCCTCAAATATGCCCAAGATTGCCTGAAGATATCACAAGAACTGCCAGGGGCAAGGTGTCCAGGTGGGACCATCAAGGTTGGTCGATTCGAACCAACCTTAAAGGCTCCCACGACAAACAAATGTCGCGGATCCTTGCAGGCGGATTATTTGAAATCGCCGGTGGCAGAAACACGTTTTCGAACTGAGCCTTCCCATATTGTACATGTTGCATACCGTGTCCTGAAACCGCACTGTGGGGCCCGTGCCTGTGATCATCATCACCAGCAACATCACCGTCGACATCATCACCTCCGGCAGCATCATCATCATAATCATCAGCATCATCATCATCATCATCATCATCATCATCATCATCATCATCATCATCATCATCGTCATCATGGTCGTCGTCGTCATCATCGTCGTCATCATCGTCGTCGTCGATGGCGTCGTCGTCATCATCGCCATCATCATCATCATCAGCAGCAGAATCACCACCATAATCATCAGCATCAGCACAAGCAGCATCATTAACATCGTCATCAGCATCATCATCATCATCGTCATCATCATCGTCATCATAATCAGCGTTAGTATCATTATCAGGAACAAAATTATTACCATCACCGTCATCATCATCCTCATCATGATCATCATTATCATCACCACCATCATCGGCATCATCCTCATCGTCGTCATCATCATCGTCATCGTCCCTGGGGCATCTTACTTGTTTCAAAAAGGACCGGCGGGAGCGAGGCGGGGTCCTCGCCAGGCTCCCCGGAGGTCCTTGGTCTTGGTTCCTGGGCTCCTCAGTCTTGGTCCCTCAGTTCCTTGGCCTTGGTTCCGTTGTTCCTCCGTCTTGGTTCCTTGGCTCCTTAGTTCCTTGTTCTTGATTCCCTGGTTCTTGCTCCTGGTTCCTTGGTGCCTCGGTTCCTTGGTCCCGGTTGCTTGGTCTTGGTTCCTTGGTTTCTTGGTCTTAGTTCCTTGTTTCCTTGGCCCCCTGGTTCCAATTCCTTTGTTCCTTGGCGTTGCATCCTTGCTTCCTTGATATTGATTCCTTGGTCTCAGATCTTTGGTGCCTTGGTCTTGGTTCATTGGTTTCTTGTTCTTGGTTCCCTGGTTTCTCAGCCTGAGGCTCCAAGCAATATCAAGCAACGATCCGAAGCGACGCCAAACAACGCCAAGCAAAGCCAAGAAACACCAAACAGCGCTTCAGCGCTTGACATGCATTTCAGCGATTTGCGTTACTCAGAACTGATCTGAATTCCTTTACAAAGCCAAAGGCCCCCAATTGGGGTCGCACCGGGTTCAGTCCATTTTTCCCTACCTAGGCTCTGCCTAGAAGGGTTCTTACCCTGTATGCTTAAAGGGCCGGGCAGTGCTCCCCGCCCCGGGCGGTTCCCCCAGGATCCGCCCCGCGGTTCCCCCAGTCCCCTGGGAGCTTTAGCTTCAGCTTTAGCTTTAGCTTTAGCTTTAGCTTTAGCTTTAGCTTTAGCTTAGCTTCAGCTTAGCTGTAGCTTAGCTTTAGCTTAGCTTTAGCTTAGTATTAGCTTAGCTTTAGCTTAGATTTAGCTTAGATGTACCTTAGTTTTAGCTCAGATGTAGCTTAGCGTTGTCTTAGCTTTAGCTTAGATTTAGCTTAGCTGTAGCTTAGCGTCTGCTTAGTTTTAGCTTAGCTTTACCTTAGCTTCAGCTTAGCGTTACCTTAGCTTTACCTTACCTTTACCTTAGCTGTACCTTAGCGTTAGCTTAGCTTTAGCTTAGCTTTAGCTTAGGTTTAGCTTAGCTTTAGCTTAGTTGTATCCAGTTTTAGCTTAGCGTTAGCTTAGCTTTAGCTTAGCTTTAGCTTAGCGTTGGCTTAGCTTTAGTTTATTTTTATAGTAGATTTAGCTTAGCTTTAGCTTAGCTTTAGCTTAGCTTTAGCTTAGTTGTACCTTAGCTTTAGCTTAGCTTCAGCTTAGCTGTATCTTAGATGTACCTTAGCTTTACATTAGCTTTACCTTAGCTTTACCTTAGCTTTAGCTTAGCTTTAGCTTAGCTTTAGCTTAGATGTAGCTTAGCTTTAGCTTAGATTCAGCTTAGCTTTAGCGTAGCTTTAGCTTAGTTTAAGCTTAACTTAAGCTTTGTTTTATCCGGTTTTAGCTTAACTTTAGTTTAGCTTTAATGTAGCTTTAGCTTAGCTTTGGCTTAGCTTTAGCTTAGCTTTAGCTTAGCTTTACTGTTACTACTAATGCTGCTTTCCTAGGGGCTCCAACTCCTAGGTAGGGTCGCACTGGGGTAATTGACAACTTCTTTGCTGGGTGGGTCAACAGCCAGACTGGCCTTGGACCATAAGGCTACATACACAGAATTGAAAACTTCCACCGCTTTGGCCAGCGAGACCCCACAAGAGAATACATCGTCGCCCAAAGCAAAGGCAGCAATACGAAGACCTTGAATCATGATGCCCGACTGGTGTTGCCCCTACCTTTCTTTCCCTCAGGCGATGGCGTCCTTGCCAGGGCCATCCTGGGTCATGGCATGATGTATACTGACGGAGCCCAGGGACACACACGTATAAATAAGCACAATTCGCTTTCCCCTCCACTTTCTGCGTGTTACATATTATCCTGGGAGTTCGACCGCCCCGCTTACCAACGTCCCGTCTGCAGGGGCTTGGGGCCCTAGGCAGGCATGGTTGTGTGCGGATGCCTCCTGCGGGTTACGGCCTTCTGACCGCAGCTCGGGCTGGAGCAGACCACTCGGGGCATGCCTGGCGCCCTCGGAGGGCTCCAAGGCAGAGAGCGGCTGCTGGAACGCGCCGCAGGGCCAAAACCAGCCGTGCTCGACAGTGGAAGCCTCGCTACAGAAGAAGAACAAACGCCACAAAGATACCTTTTGGCGCTCCGCGCGGATTTCTTGTCTCTGCGCTGGACCCCCCTCCCTGGCGCGCGGAGCGCGCCAGGGGCGGCGCCGGAGGCGCCGCCGGGGGGGGCCAGCGCAGATCCAAAAAATCCGCCGGGAGCACCCAAAGTTTATGTTTATGGCGTTTTATCGCTTCCGATCGTTGCAAAGCTGGTCTCGCTGGTCTTCCGCGGTCTTCGGCGGCCTCTAGCCGTCCACGGCGGTCGCCAAGACGGAGGATGGACGGCTGCGCTTCACAAGGTGTCCGCGGTCGAACACCCAGGACACCTGACCACAAGAGCCGTCGAGGACCTCCGAGGAACCTAGATGAGCGCTTTGTTACTCGCAAAGTAACTACTCGCAAATGACCTGGATCTCCCACGAGGGATCTACGATAAATGCCATCGAAGCAGACATGTGTGTTTCGGACGTTTCGGGGAGAGGAACCTGCTCGCACCCGCCCGTACCCACAAGCGCCTGCCGGAGCTTCGGCGCAGACTACCCGAGCCTCCAAAAGCCGGCCCAGGGCCCGCAAGGCCTCACAGACGTAACACGATTGGCGTAAACAGTATCTGGAACCGAAGCGTCAAACTGGGGTCGAAAAAAATGTTAGGTGGGCCTCAAGACAGACCGAAGATAGGAACACAATGCGTGTCAGACAGCCGCCAGGCAAACCAGCAACGCCACGCAAGCCGACCTGCAGTAGGCAAACTCGTGCAGGCCTGACAGAGTCGCCTGAGGCCCTCTGAGGGACGCGACGCCGCACGCCAGACGCCCAGCTGAGGGGCAGGGGAGGAATGGCACGATACGTCGCCGCTAGATCGGCGACAGGCCCCGACAGCGAAACCGCACCTTTCTGGGTGGGGCGGGGCAATCGGGCCCCTATCGGCGATCAGTAAGCGATCAGGGGGTCGTGTGTCCCCCCCTGCGCCTGTCCCCTCTTACCTAGGGGAGCAAAAAAAACTCAGAGGTCCGCGCGGATTCATCGCTGGGCCCCCCTCCCTGGCGCACGGAGCGCGCCGGGGGCCGCGCCAGAGGCGCCGCCAGGGGGGCTCCAGCGCTGATCCGAGGAATCTGCGCGGAGCTCCGAGTTTTTATGTTTATGTCATTGTCTGCTCCCCGGCTATCGCTGCCCCTGACCAGCCCCCACGGCCGCCCAGGCGAGGGCACCCGCGCCGAGCAGCCCGCGCCCAGGCAGCGGCGGACGCTGCGGGCGGGGCACCAGCGGCTGCGGGCGCGCGGGCGTGGGCGGCGGCGGCGGCGGCGGCGACGGCGGGCGCTAGTGGAGGCCGCTGCCTTCACCGGCGGCTGCCGGGCACCAGCGGCCGCGGGCGGTGAGCAGAGGCAGCCGGCGACGAGCAGATGTGGCCCAGACAGCTCCAGGGACAGCAGGGACATACCCTCTGGGCAGGGCGCGCGAGGGGTTGGCCCCATCCGGGGAGGAGAGCGTGCAGGGCCCAGCTCGAGGCCTGGATTCCTGGGTCGATGCGGTGATCACGAGGGCGCCTGCCATCAAGTGCTCCCAGACGGTTCAGCGGCAGGGGTCCGGTGTTGCCAGAGGTTGTCCTGGCCCAGGGTGTTCCCAGCTTTTCCCGCTATTTGGGGGGCCCTGGGACCCTCTGGACCCCGTGAGGGATGCTCGGGAGGTCACCTGGGCATCCCCAGAAATCCTGGGGACAAATTTGGGCCAAGGACACATTCGACAGCACCCGATCCGAAACAGTCTCTGGATTCTGGCTGCGCCTGGGAAAGCTCTGGAAGGATGCGGTGGCAGAAAAGAGACTCGGAGTCGGCGCCAGGTCTGTGAGTATGCGAAGTCTGTCCGTTCCCTTTGGGGCAGGACGCGCGGCAGTACCAGGGGCAGGGAAAGGGGCGGGCTGAGAGGGAGGGGAGGGGGAGCGCTTGGGCGCCCACAGACTGCGGCAAGAACCGAGGGGGCGGGGTGGCGGGGTTGAGAGAGCGGCAACTTCGAGCGTCGAAGGAGCAGCAGCCACGCTGGATCTGGCGATGGGAGCATGTGCTCCCCCACCCTCCACCCAAGGAGCGTTTATGCGGGAGCCAAATCTGACACCTGTGGAACGCTGCAGCGGCCTCCCCCCTCTCCTCCTCCTCACCTCCTCCCCATCCTCGTCCTCGTCCTCCTCGCCTCCCCTCCTCCTCTGCCTCGCTCGTGCGCCGCCGCCCCGCCTGGGTCTCCCACTCCTCGTCGGTGGACCCGTCGGCCTCCGCGTCCCTCTCGGCGGCCTCTGTTCGGAGCAGCCGCCCGAGGCTGCTCCTTGAGGTGGGCTCGGACGCCCGGGGCGGCGGGGGAGATCCCGCCGAGGATGGGGGAAAGGGGAAGGCCAGGGGCTGACAACCCCGTGGGGGGGGTCCCGGCGATCCCTCGTTACCTTCCATCTTACCCACGGGTACCAGCACCAAACTGCAGCAAAGGTACCCTTCGGGCCCAGCGAACAACTCCCCCTGCTTCTGCGACGCGCATCCCTACCCACACGCACGACCGACTTCCACGACATAGATAAGCCAGAGCTTTTCCATCCAGCTGGGCGGAGCTGACATCACCCGCACTCGTCAGGCTACATCAAGATCTCAAGAGTGCAAGGTGACCTATCAGGGTGCTGATGGGGGGGGCTCCTGTTCAAGTAAGGTCATCGGACGACCTGGACTTTGACCGCCTGTGCGCTGATGAAGACGAGCTCCTCCTCATGATCAGCCTCCTGCTTGCCCTACTCCTCCTACGAGGTCCCCAACTTTGTCCTCCTCAGATTACATCTCCTGGGATACAGTGGCGAAGAAGGAAAGGAGGAGGAGGAAGAAGAGGAGGAGAAGAACAGGAGAAGGAGGAGGAGGAAGGCGACGACGACGACGACGACGAGAAGAGGAGGAGCAGCAGCACGCAGAAAAAGGAGGAAGAGCAGCAGCTGCAGCAAGCGCACGAGCGCACGTCAACGGACCAAGAGGGGTCAGCCCCACGCCAAGCCTCCCCAAAACGAATGGCGTGAGGGAGGAGGAGCAGGGCAGGAGGGAGAAGGAGGAGAGCAGCTCCTCCTCCTCCTCCTCCTCCTCCTCCTCCTCCTCCTCCATCATCATCATCATCATCATCATCATCATCATCATCATCATCATCATCATCATCATCATCATCATCATCATCAGCATCATCATCATCATCATCAGCCTCCTTCTCCTTTTCCTCCTCCGCCTCCTCCTCCTAATCCTCCTCCTCCTCCTCCTCCTCCTCCTCCTCCTCGCCTTCCTCCTCCTAATCCTCCTCCTCCTCCTAATCCTCCTCCACCTCCTCCTGCTCCTCCTTCCTCCTCCTCCTCCTCCTCCTCCTCCTCCTCCTCCTCCTCCTTCCTCCTCCTCTCTCCTCCTCCTCCTCCTCCTCCTCCTCCTCCTCCTAATCCTCCTCCTCCTCCTCCTCCTCCTCCTCCTCCTCTCCTCCTCCCTCCTCCTCCTCCTCCTCCTCTCCTCCTCCTCCTCCTCCTCCTCCTCCTCCTCCTCCTCCTCCTCCTCCTCCTCTTCCTCCTCCTCCTCCGATCCTTTTCCTTACAAAAGAATCCCCCCTGTCACACCCCGAGGCCAATCGAAAGATCGGCCGGCCGATTCGCCTGAGACTTTATCACCAAGTATGACCCTGAAGCTTGATAAATGGCAACTGTTTCACATATGGAGGGCGGGTGGTCTTCGGAATGTCGCCTCAGCGCCGCGCACATTCGTGTTCATAATTTGCAAGAGCTTCACGGATTCAGGGCAAGAGGATTTCAAAAAGTGGTCCTCGCCTTAGCGCCGCGCATATTCGTCTTCATAATTTGCAAGATCCTTCACGGATTGAGGGCGGGCCGTTTTCAAAATGTGGCTCTCGCCTTAGCGCCGCGCACCTTCGTCTGAAGTATTTGCAAGAGCTTCACGGATTGAGGTCGGCTCCTTTTCAAAATGTGGGTCTCGCCTCAGCGCTGCGCACATTCGTCTCAAACATTTGCAAAGACTTTCAAGGAAGTCCATGGTCAACGTAGCAGAAATGGTGCTTTGGAGCAATTCAGGACTGTCAGGGCACAAGAGTCACATTAATTCGCGGTTTAAAAGGCCAAGGACGGATGTTATGGCACGATTCTGGATCGTCAAGACGCAACAGTCAAGTTGATTCGTGGCGTTGCGGTCGCGAGAACAAGTGTTTTGGCATGCTTCAGGATATTCGAACGGTTGTCTTCCAACGGAGCACTTCCCCCAGTGGAATAAATCCTTGTAAGGGGCCATGTAGGGGTAGCTTGGAGGGAGGCTGATCCCAAAATCGTTGATGAGTAGTTGGTTTACACTGGTCCTCCTCCTCGTCCTCCTCCTCCTCCTCCGCCTCCGTCCCCCCCACATTGATCAGCCTCCTGCTTACCATGTTGACTCTCCTCCCTGTCCTTCCCTATCCTCATCCTGCTCCTGTTCCTGATCATCCTCCTCCCGTCCCATGTCTGGAAACTTTCGAAGCAATTCGAGAACTCACAGAGAGCCCTCCAAAACCATGCCGACGCTCCGAATGCCTTCAGAAAGCCCTCCGAAGTCCTCCGAAGGACCTCCCCACACCCCCGACATTCACGACGTGAACGCCCAAGGGTACGGCCCGTGTCTTTGGACGAGCTTTCCATCCCGAAGCGCTCTTTGACGAACCTGTGCTTTTTCCACGACTCGAGGGGGTCGGAGATCGGGGGGGCCCGGACCTGCCCAGGGGCCAGGGGTGCATTCTGCCCAGAATGTGAAGGCGAATCCAGCCGTGGCGACGAGTCCTCGCAGAGGCCCACAAAGGTGCCAGACCCTCGATCTCCGAACCCCGATCCCCGAGGTTCGGGAACCGGGAGCCCCTCTGGCAGCAGTGCCGCCGCCTCCCGGCGCCCGGGCTCCTCGCGCCCGCGCGGCCCGCGGCGGGGGCGGCCCGCATGGCGCCAGTGCGCCCGCGCGCGCCCGCGGGCCTCCTTCGGGCGTCAATTCATGGGGGGGGGGCGGAGGAGGAGAAGGAGGAGGAAGGGGGAGGAGGAGGAGGAGGAGGAGGAGGAGGAGGAGAGGAGGAGGAGGAGGAGGAGGAGGAGGAGGAGGAGGAGGAGAAGAGGGAGGATAGGGAGGAGGAGGATTAGGAGGAGGAGGAGGAGGATTAGGAGGAGGAAATGGCGGAGGAGGAGGAGGAGGAGGAGGAGGGGGAAGATAGGAGGAGGAGGAGGAGGAGGAGGAGAGATATGGGGAGGGGGGAAGCGTGCACCCTTCGTGCCCCAGGGCCCAGGGTGGCCCCAAAGGTCCCAAGGGGGCCCCTTCTGGAGAGCACGGCGTGCACCCCCCTCCGCCCCCCCCGTTCGTCGCACCCACGTGACTCGACGCCCGACTTTTCGGAGGCGCTCCGCGGCGGGGGCGCGCTGGCGCGCGCTACTGGGGGGGGCCGCGCCGCCAGAAGGCGGGGGTGGGCGCAAAGCTGGGCAGCAGCGCAAGTCGCGCCCGCAGGCAGGGGCGCGCGTCGCGCAATGTCTACTCACTCTCTCATACTCCTGGCCCCAGTGGGCACTCGTCCTCCTCCTGCTCCTCCTCCTCCTCCTCCTCGTCCTCCTCGTCCTCCTCCTCCTCCTCCTCATCCACCTTCTCCTCCTCCTCCTCCTCCTCCTCCTCATCCACCTCCTCCTTTTCCTCCTCCTCCTCCTTTCCTCCTCCTCCTCCTCCTCTTCCTCTTCCTCCTCCTCCTCCTCCTGCTCCTCTTCCTCCTCCTCATAGTCCTCCTCTTCCTCCTCTTATTATTATTATGTTTAGTAGAATCCAGATGTGTGATAATACTACGATGGTTATGATCGTATGCGATTACAGAACAACAATGCAGAAGGATAATAGGGTTATAGGCATATAGGGTTACAGGGTTATAGGGTCATAGTGTTCTAGGTTTATAGACATATAGAGCTACAGGGCTATAGGGCTATAGGGCTATAGGGCTATAGGGCTATAGGGCTATAGAGCTATAGGGCTATCGGGTTATAGGGCTACAGGGTTACAGGGCTATAGAGCTATAGGGCTACAAGGTTATGGAGCTATAGGGCTATAGGGCTGTAGGGCTATAGGGCTATAGGGCTATAGGGCCATAGGGCTATAAGGTTATGGGGCTATAGGGCTACAAAGCTATAGGGATATAGGGCTATAGAGCTATAGGGCTGTAGGGCTCTGGGGCTATAGGGCTAGAGGGCTATAAGGCTATGGGGCTATGGGGCCATAGGGCTACAGGGCAATAGGACTATAGGGCTATAGGGCTATAGGGCTATGAGGCTATAGGGCTATAGAACTATAGGGCTACAAGGCTATAAGACTGTAGGACTATGGGGCGATAGGGCTACTGGGCTATAGGGAGATAGTGATTTAGGGCTGTGGGGCTATAAGGCTATAGGGCTATAGGGCTATAGAGCTCTAAGGCTTTGAGGCTATAGGGCTACAATGCTATAGGGCTATAGGGCTATAGGGCTGTAGGGCTAGAAAACTATAAGGCTATAGGGCGGTAGGGCTATAGTGCAACCGGGCACCAGGGCAACGGGGCTCCTGGGCGTGCAGCCGAAATCGGCGCCACAGCTAACCTAACCATGTGAATCCAGTAGGCCCCTAGTTAGTATTGGTAGTAGTGTTATTACGATATGGATTCCTACTATTATTAAACTAGAACCAGCAGTAGTATCATCATTCTAGGTCGCATTATTATTAGTCTGATCAGTAGTATTGGTACTGTCATACTCGTATGATTACTACTAGTGAAAGTATTAAAAGGTGTATGAGTATTGTTTGTATGATATGTTTGTGATTATTGCTATAAATATTATTGGGGCGAACGTATCATTGAGAGACTTAGTACAATTATGATCATTCGTCTTATGATTGTTCTTCCGAGTGTTAATAGTATTCGTAAGCGTACACGTATTATTATTATGTACAGTAATGTGCGTAGTGTTATTATGCTCTGTCTCATGTGCATAGTACGTTCGCTTAATATTCGAAGAGATCACGATATTAGTGTTACGATTCTTCTTATTGATCAAAATATAAGTTGTCCCTGTATCAGTATTCTGAGTATGCATGCTCGTCTTAGTGCTCGTATGAGTCGTATGTTTTCTTATTAGCGTTATTACTCATAGTATTCGTATCCTGTGCTCTGCGTATTATCGGTACTAATACTATGATTAGCATGAGTATTAGTATCAGTATGCTTCATAGTGATCGTATGATAGATCACTACTCGTCGATTTAGTGTTATTATTCGTGTTTCTATGATTCGTTGGTTTCGTTTTCGCATTCGTCTTCGTATCCGTCTTACTAGTAGTAGTGGTAGTATCACTAGTATGCGTGATCTAAGTGTTACCATTCGTATTACTTATGCATTAAAAGTTTCCTGAGTTCGTATCAAGAATAGTCGCCATAATATTTGGTCGTCTTGATACATTGCTTATTCATCGTATCATTACTATTATTGCTAGTCCTCCTCGTTCTCGTTTTTACACTACTCCTCCTGCTCCTCCTGTTTTTCCTACTGATCCTCGCCATCCTGACCACCCCCTGCTCCTCCTGCTCCCCCTCTTGAACGTCCATATGCTGAGTATTCTCCCTCCCCTCCTCCTCTTCCTCCTCCTCCTTTTCCACGTCCTCCTCGACCTCATCCTCTTCCTCCTCCTCGTCATCATCCTTTTCTTCCTCCACCTCCTCCTCCTCCTCCTCCTCCTCCTACTCCCCCTCCCTCCCTTCCATCCTCTCTCCATCCCTCCCTCCCTCCCCCCTCCCTCCTCTTCCTCACCCTCTTCTCCTCCTCCTCCTCCTCCTCCTCCTCCTCCTCCTCCTCCTCCTCCTCCTGCTCATCCACGCCTGGATCGGCGCGCCTCGAATTGCACCAGCCGCCGAAGATGCCAGCTGGCAGTGCTGGTGGACAAGCCTGCTGTTCCGGCTGCCACGAAGGTCCCCTCAGGGGAACCAGAACCTGATGGGAGCCTCCGTGGCAGTAGCGGGGGGGGAAGAAGAGGGTCCCGGCAGACAAGAAAGCCGCAGGGCCAAAGTCTTCGGGCCGCGACGGGCAAGAAGCCCTCAGGTGGGCCACCCTCGCCTCGAGATCGATCCGATCGCACCGATCGAGGCCATCATTCGTGGCTCACGCTTTTCAGCTCGTTTCTCCCTCAAGATTCTCTTCAGCTAACAGTAGGGCAAGATATCAGAGGAACTTACAAAAATGTGCAACGCTGCGAGAACACGCGGAGCACACATGTCGAACCGCAGGCGTGGGCATTATCAGCAATGGTCTGAAGCAGGATATGATGCTGATTCACGCCGGCGGTAAGCCGGGTGGCAATACATCTTCACAGAACTTTGATCGAGAACGAGGTTCGAAACAAGTAATCGAACAAGCATGCGACAGCTACGTTTGGCGCTGCCACCTCCGGCCGAGGACCCCGCTACCTTAACTCACCTACGACATCATCACCGCCGACCTGACCAGTGGAAAATTCTGACATCGTCAGGAAAAAAAAAATTGACCGAACTTGCACAATCGAGAACTCTGAAAGTCTAGGAGACAATGTTAGTCGCGACAGAGGCGACAGTTAAGGTGGTGGAGGCCTCAGAGAGCTGTCACGGACAATTCTGGAATCCTGCATAGATGTACGTCTTGGATACTGCCTCACCGTGTTGCTGGGTACGTTGAACCACACAATGAATCTCGGGATCATCAGTGTCAAACCGGTCAAATGTATAGGCACCCGCAAACTTGTTCGTATTGTGTTCTGCGTTGTCCTTAGTTTGTCTGCGTCCGCCACACCGCGGGACAATTCAACAGGTGCACCTTCATGTACTACTCACGCGGCGTTCCGACAAACTTTCGATTACACACGAGCCAGAGGCGGGCGGCCACGGGTAGAAGTTCACTCTGCATGAGAAAGATGCCCCAATGTGAAGCCTGTGCTAAAGGCGATCATCAGTCCAAGGAGCGACTTTGCCACTGCAAATTCTCCCTGATGTGTTTCGAAACCTGGCACAAGCCTCACCCTGAGATTTGACGCACATTGGAAAGGCATGATGAGAGGTGCCTCACCGTCATCAACTCAAACCAGGGACTTCTCGTACAACTCCCTTTTTCCACACAGCCAGTGTATGGAGACCTCTTTGAAGTTCACAGCACACGACAAGAATAGCGATTCAGAGGAACAACGTACAAATCGACTGCATCCCTCTCAGCAACAACAAAAACATTGCATGCTGGAGCCTATGTGAAAAAATAAACAACCCACACACACCAAAAAAAAACGTGGATTCCTTCATACGTCATCTCGCCACGCAATTCAGTCAAGAAGACAAGACATGCTTTTTGAATGACAAATGAAAACGACGCACCTCGCATTGCCTTTCAAACGCCGCAACAGCTAGCAGGAAATAGCTGATTGATCCAACGTGTTGCGATACAGACCGCATCTGTTCGTACCTCCGCATCCCTGTATTCTTCCACCTGCCTTGTGGGATTGGCAGGGAGGCATGGCGCGAGCGTACTTGCGCGGTACGGTCGCATCGCGATTTTCCCCGCCCCTGGGCTGTCTCCCGCCGCCACCTCCCAAGGCCGGGCCTTCGCTGGCTGCGTCTTTCCCACCACCGCGGTTCCGCCCGTTGCGGGTCGCTGATGCACCTCGTCCTGTCGGCACACAACAGCGGGGCAGGACCAGTCCGCACGCGCGCTCGGGCAAGCCGAATGACGGCATTGCGCATTGCCCGGATGCAGGAGGGGACGGAGGAGGAGGAGGACGAGGAGGAGGCGGAGGAGAAGGCTGGTCGGCACACACTGGACACTGTCGCCCTCGCCACGCGCCCCCCCGTCTTCCCCCCGCCCCTCACGGACCCACGCGGACGAGCCGGTCGATCCCCCACGGGCGGATCCCAGTCTCCACGCCGCGCGATCTGGGCCAGCCCCGCGCGTCTCTTCGCTCGACGCTCTCCGCTTCGACGCTGCGCGCGGGGACGCGATGCCAACGTCGCATGCGTGCGTGCTTGTGTGTGTGCGTGTGCATGTGCGTGTGCGGGTGCGTGTGTTGTGTGTGTTGAGTGTGTGTGCGCGCGTGTGCGTGTGCGTGTGCGTGTGCGTGTGCGTGTGCGTGTGCGTGTGCGTGTGCGTGTGCGTGTGCGTGTGCGTGCGCATGCGCGTGGTCGTGTGCGTGTGCGTGTGCGTGTGCATGTGCGTGTGCGCGTGCGTTCGCGTGTGCGTGTGCGTGTGCGTGCGCAAGTGAGTGTGCGTGTGCGTGCGCGTGTGCGTGTGCGCGTGCGCGTGCGCGTGCGTTCGCGTGTGCGTGTGCGTGCGCGTGCGCAAGTGCGTGTGCGTGTGCGTGTGCGTGTGCGTATGCGTGTGCGTGCGTGTGCGTGTGCGTGTGTGTGCGTGTGCGTGTGAAAGCACGAGTGCGTGAGCGTGTGCACTTGCGTGTGCGTGT